TACAATTTTTTCCGTGTATCTCAGTCAACAGTTTTCCTGTCAAATAAGTGTGACACATTTCCACTTACCAAGTTCCACTTACCCATACCAGGAAGTAAACGATTGAAGTGATGACTTCTCGAAAAAGCAGCAACTCCGAACAAACTCTATTTTTTCTAAGATTTTGCATTTGCCATAACTAAACTGGATTTGTTCAAAGCTGTACAGTTTGGCGGCACTGATAGGAGACGGCTTACGGTTTAATTTCATATAGTATCTACGTACATACTTACCAAATTTTTAAGTCATTATCTGATATTGTCTTTTTTTGACTGATTTCACTACTAATCGACCGTCACAAATCAACAAAAACACACACCTAACATACTTACAGTCAAAAAGTGAAGTTAAATAAACTCAACCTGTTGATGAACATTTTAGCTTTTTAAGCTTAACGAAAATGTTTGAATGATCAGTCGGTCGGTCATTGAGTTGCACAGCAGTTATGAATAAATTCAACCTGTCATTATGAGCACATCACTTCAAAACAACATCATCTCATCGTTTGTGCTTCGTATTACTTCTAACGGCCACATTNATCACATTTTCTAGATGGTGTCTATATGGTGTAGTGTTTTCGATTAGTAAGTCTAACCTTTCGTTCACATCATCAGTGGTGAACAAAAAACGCACTAGAAGGAGTTATTTGTCAAACATTCCGGATGTCGTTTTTCGCTTATTTCACGATAAAATGAAAGTTGTCGCCACAACAAAATATTCGCCATTCCGACGAGTAGTTTTTGCTTGGGCAGCAACACGTTTTCGTCACGAACGACACTGAATCGCTAAAGTCTTTTTTCACGAACTGTTTATGCGGATATTGTTGAATTTTTGCTCATTCATCATTGTTGCAGCATTCGGGAAAGAGCGAATTATTAAAATTCTTCAGTGCGAATTTATCTCTTCTTTTCATACGACTCAGGAGTGTTCCATTTTTTCACGTTGACAACAAAAATTCCATTCTATCAATTGAGCTTTTTTGAGCTCTTCGATCTTTTCGTACCAAACTACGAAAAGCGACCAAAGATGAGAAATCTTGTCAGTATTTGAGTGAACAATTCACTGTAGAACAAGCACACCTCAAGGAAATACTTAAAAGCAGTGATTCGAAACTAGTTACACTTAAATTAATGATTAATTTACTGAGAATTGTTGAGTCGTGAATGAATCTGAGAATCTTTTCGCATGCTGATAATAGAACAGTTCCAGTTTGGGACAAAGTAGTGGCTTTTTTTTGGTGATGCAAAATATTAGGACTGTTTCATTCGATAGTAAAATGTTGGCGACTGACGCGACTTCCGACGATTGAAAGAAACTCGAAAATCACACGAGGACCACATGAGGACTGCAGAGACAGTGACGAAATTCGAAAATACAAAACACTTTGCTACTGTTTGCACAATGTTCACAACGTATCACTGTCAATCAAGTTTCGATCGAATAATACGACACCAAAGTCTTTCATCAGGAACGCCGTTGACTCTTACAATTAGCAAACTGGTCAGTGGTGAATAATTTCGCAAACCATAGAAAACAATTCACTCAGTGAAATGCCAAATTGTGCAGAAATAAAATCGTACAAGTGCATCATCACAATGTGCTCCAATATATTCATATTTTGTGAGTACTTATTTGTGAGCTCACCAACCACATTCCAGGGGGAACCAGGACGTTTGCAACTGTACTGATGAGATGAGAGTAGATATGCTGGGGCGTATCGAAAATGAANATTGGATCCTCAAAGCACAGTGTGACCCCAGTAAACCACTGGCCCAATGCATGCCCGCTTGAAATTTATTTGCACACTGTCTCCTCTCAATTCACATCACCCATTTATGCCGGCTTTTCGTGGTAGCCGTGACAGGACGGCAGTCAAGTTCAGTTCCGCAATCAGAGAACGAGCATAGTTCAACAGACGACTGTTTACGTCACGAACGAAGTGTGATCAAGCGAAATTTGAGCAAAAATTGATGAATGAACAAAAATTCAACAAAATCTGCTTGAAAAGTTTGTGAGAAATGATTTCAGTCGATGTATCGTTCGTGACGAAAACGAATACAATCATTTCTGTTGGCTGTTCAGCAAATTGCATGATGCATCATCAGTTCAACAACGCATTCATTCCATTAAGTTGCACACAACCGGATTCAGTCACGAAAATAATTGAATGCAATGATGACTTTATCAAACAAGCGTTCACTAAAAGAAGTCCTTAGAATACATCAGCAGTTCCTTGTTAATTGTTTGTGAGCGTATGCAGGCAGCCAACATTTCACTCATTTGCCAGCATAGTTGATAATTTTTCTTCATTATCTTATATTCTTCTCACCATTCCTAATGGTCTATGCAAAGAAGTAAATGCTAAGTAGAATGGGTGTCACAAAAGCAATTAGGTGCTCTCGGCAAAACATTTGAATGGTTTTTTGGCCATATAACGATTATCTGATGACATGGGTGCGACCTTCACACTCATGTCATGAGGTAATCGTTAAATGCTTCACTTTTTGCCTACCTCCACTCACATCTGCAGTCTTCAAGACAACATTTTAAAGCGAATCTCCCAAATAGATGTAAAGTGATGCAGTATTCTTAACTGTCATTTTGTGCCGCAACCAAATTTCTTGAGAAATGATCGATGAACAACAATGTGTTCGTTTGTTTTTGTGCAGTGGTTGAATGAAGAAAAAACCTTTTCATTACAACAATCTACATAATCGGCAATGCACTCATCGGTTCCGGTAAATGTGGCCAAAAAACGAATGCAACAAACAGAGAAAACTGCGAAGAAAGCAAACCTATATAAGATCATCATCTCTCAAATGCCAAAAAAAANAAAAAAAATCGGTAGCTAGTGTATTTTCAATGTTTCTAGTGAAGTGTGGCCATGTAAAATCGTCATTTTACGGTCTGCAACAGCTGTGATTAGTGGTTTCGGCATATATCAATAAGAAACTTTGAATTATTGGATGTATTTTTTTGTAGATGTTTAAAGACTGCATAAAAGTGTGCATGTGTGGTGCATCTATGTGACATCTATCTCATTATTGACAAATGACGTACTTCAATTGAATCGGAATGCAACTAAAAACGAACGAATGAACAGCAACAACAAAGAAGATGAGCAAAGAGAGGTTCAATTCGTTCCACTCCGAAATATTTCATTACTTATCACACTGAATCGGCAGTTATATTGATAACGATCAAACTACTTGATTTGTTTTATGATTGTTGTTAAACTAAGAAACTATCCAAAAAAACACACACAGGTTGTTAGGGTACATGTGCATGCATATGCGTGCAACAAAATCAAAGTGAGTCCTTCCATGCGAACTCAATGACAGTTCATATAATTAATTGGTTTATTCAGTTGATTATTTATGATAGTATTAGCATGGTGAAATACTTTCACTAAACCATAATACCCATGCCGTTTCATCGGCGAAAAAGCTTTTTTCATGCCCCTGTGTACTCAAAAAATCAGAGAGAGAATCCCTCCTTCATTCCTGCTGTTTACAACTTTGCGGATCGAAAATCTACGACCGATTCCAGAAACAATTTCTAGTCATGACTAGGAGTCGAAGACTAGAAATAATCGTTTCCGCACTAATGATCAGTTAAGGTGGTCATCAATTGTCATGATCAGAAAGAATCTTTCATCGATATTCCACTTGTCAGTTTAATTGAGCGAAAAGAAAAGTGAAAAGCAAAAATTACAAAATGTTGTTTTTTCAGTAGAATAATCCAACAACCTGAATGATTTGCGATTGTTTGATAACGATTGATGATACGACCCACCGTGTTTTTTCAGTCGAATGAACGTTTGACGGTAATACATATTTAGAGGTGCGTTGCGTCGATGCATTCATTCGTAAAACGTCTGAAGTTTTATTTGAGTGCAAGCAAATCATTCTGTTAATGTTGAGATATTTTTTAGCGTAGCAACAACACAGCCCATTCTAGATAGCTTCTGTGCAAATCTACGTTCGGAAGAGTTCGCGGAATAATCGCATTGAAAATAGGTCTTCTTACAGAAAGTGCTTGAATATGTACTTGAACATTAAGCGACTTGAAGAAGCTCTAGCAGAGAAATTTTAACAATTTCAGTGAACAGATGGTGAACGTTGGGTTAACATAGTTTTGACGTTTCTTAATGACAGAGCGCAGGAACAACTGATGACATACTGAACAGGGAACTTACCTCAACTACTCGATTGCTTCTTTTCACATATCCAAAATCTTCATTTTGTAATCACCGAAAAAATATCAGAATGCTCCATCCGTAGCAATTTGTTTGGTGGAGTAATGAATTTCGCCTCACTGAGACGTTTCTAGTCCGAGTTATTAATCTAATAGTATGAATGAAGTTTCAATGGGTAGTAGTTCAAGATTTGGGCAACAAGAAACGGTGAAGAAAACATGAAAACTGAAGATATCACCAAAAATTTATATGATGAAGAAATAGCACGGAACGAATTTTTCCACCAACAACTTCCGATAGTTCTCATTGAAACACATTCCAGACAAAGCGTTCATTGTCGGCAGTAAGAGTGTGCACCATCTATCATCTGGATTTTGTCATGAGACCTGTGACAAACAGAAAATAAGAGACGAGCTGAAAGAAAGCATCAAACAAACATGAAATTCATTACTGGACGTTGACGGACAACTCGAAGAAGAATGTTAATGACGGAACAGTATTTGAAGTGATTCTGTAGTGATCAGCATATTTCAGAATGACACTGCAACTGGATTATTTTTTCATTTAAGGCCTCTTCATTGCTACTGCAAATTCCTCAATTACGTTTCACTTCGACTGTGCAAGTATTGTGAACGCTGTAATTGTTAAGAGCAGTAATTATTACGCACAAAAAATCAGTATGAGAAAGCAACTGGTAGGGCAGAAATTCATGCAGTGTTTATGAGGTTCAGGAAGGCAGAAAACTGCATATCCTTGAAAATTTCTTCGTTGAAATTCTTTTAAAAAAATGACAATATTTTTACTTTCGATAATACATTCGAGACATTTGACTGTTTTGGAAAGTACTGGAGAAGTGCTATCGAAAAAAAAGGAGCCGGTCGGAAAAACGCCCATTTCGCTCAACTGAACCTGTTTGAAGAAGTAACATACTGCGCATAAAAGCGTACTATTACGCTACCTGTCATCAATAGCCACTTTGTACAGCATGAAGATCGTCATCGTCCTTTTGACTGTCTGCCTTACAGTTCAAGCTAAATCCTGTAAGTAGTTCATCATATTTCAACGATTCGTTTCATTTTAAAAGTACTTATTCACTGACCACAAGTTGTTAGATCGAAACTGGACTTGCAGTTTTATCTGGAGACCCACTGCACATTAATTGAATCATTCAAGAATCTATGTTGTTGGTCCCAATACGTTGTTCGTGCAGCCTCAAACATTCATTGATATTGGCTTAAACCAGGCAGTGATTTTCGCTCGTAGGAGTCATCCTTGCTTACAACTAGTCGTTATTCTTCCGTTGAAGCGATGAAATTTGAAGTTTTGGCGCACTGTACGATTATATTAGGCCTTCCTATGAACGCTTTAGTTTCATAATGATTGATTGTTTCAATCAGAAACATCCATTAAAAAATTTCACGGTTCTTGTTTGCGAAGTCTGACTGTTCGCGTTTCTCTCCTAAGTGCAGTGAATGTAGCAGTACTGAACTGAAGTTAATTTGATTAATCAGTTACCTATTATCGATAGAAATAGAAGTAACTGTGGTTCCTTGCCGGTAGAAATAACTATAGTTCTCCCTAAAGCGCCAATAGTTCTTAAGTCTTGATCTGCACTGTACGAATAGACCGTAGAACCGCTTGCAAATTACAATGTTGACGTGAGTTTATCACATCAAGGTTGTGATTTGAACTTTAATATTGCCAATCATTCGACTTTAATACTGGGCGTGACTAGCCTTTTGAAGAGTTTTCAATAAAACGTTAGTTAGCACGTCAGTCTAAAGGGGCAGTCTAAATTCTCTCTGCCCTAGCCGAACGTGTCTTGCGCATTATCACACTGTAAGCAGTGATAAATTTTGTCTTCATTGTAGCGATGAAGCTAAGACTGATTTACCGAATGTCTCTAAGTCGTTACACTTCAAGGAATGTTAACCAATCGAGAGATTCCGAGACGTTTGTTTATCTTCAACCATACTCACAATCACTGATTTGTAGGACGTGACTTTTAGTGACGCACTTCATGCACCGTTGGAAATTCAAAAAATGAGTGAGTTATGTCTCTAGATATTACCGCTGCTTGTAGGAAGGAGGAACACAACTTAGTATTGTTCCGAAAGGGAACAGTTCTCCATCGCTGAAGAAAACTTCAATAGTTGGACTGTTTCAAATGGGTTAATGAGCACGTCAACTTATTTGATCACTTGAAGATTTAAACCAGCTCTTCGTTCTTTTGTTCTAAGGCGTACATTGAATGGAAATGAGCGAAACAACGGTAGTGTCAGCTGTCATTGGAATCAATTAGTTATAGTGGTGTTTAATTGAGGACAAACTTCTAATCACTGTTCATGTTAAAAGCAAACGTGAATGAAGAGTAAATTTAGAACGTGATGATTGGAAGAGGGAATCTTCCATGGAATGATAGAAATTAAGAATTGATGTTGCACGAGCCTTCAGCAAATCACAATACTAGGACTTATGGAGAAACCTGCACCACGAAATCACTGAATCAAATGCAAATGATGGATGCTGAACATGCTCTAAGTAAGAGCAAGAGTGGTTTATGAATTTTATGGAGGACTTTTAGTGTTCTATAATAGAGAAAAATGGCACGACCTATTCATTGATATTATGCTGTAATTTTCAGTGTTCAAGAGGAATAACGAATATGGCGATGAACCTGTTGCACCTGCAGCTGGTTACGCTGCAGCAGCACCACCAGCTCCAGCTCCCGTTGAACAGGCACCTGCTGCGGTACAACAATTTGCCGAAGCTCCAGCAGCGGTGGAATCTAGCGGTTACCGAAAGAAGAGGAACAATGAATATGGCGATGAACCCGTTGCACCGGCAGGTGGATATGAAGTTGCAGCCGCAGTAGCTCCAGCTCCAGCCCCAGTTGAACAAGCACCAGCCGCACTTCAGCAAGTTGCAGAAGCGCCAGCAGAAGTAGAATCTAGTGGATATTAGTAGCAACAGATTTTATTGTACTGCCAATAAGATACGATTCTCATGTTTCTTATTTTATCATTTTCTGCTACATTTTCGATGTTGGACCCAACTGATGATCAACTAGTTAAATGTTTAATAGGTTATTTGATTCACAGCAATGAAAATCGAAGTCTGTCCCTACGAGTTGTTTGTATTTTCCATTTCTTGAATCAACCAAGCAATCGAAACATTTTATTCATCCACGCTCACAGTCTCACTGTGTTACCACCAATCGGTTTCTGCAATAGCCAATTTCAACTTGCCTGTTGAAATGGCTGGCCAGCAAAAAATACAGCAGCTGTTATTAGGCCACGGTCCAACATCCGGAAGCACGTCTGATAATATGATAACGATTCTCATGTTTTATACTACAATTATTGCCCGCCACAATATAAAAAAGTTCGTATAAAAATGCAGTCTTATAGCATGGTCATATAGAGTGTTCCTCAACGTACTTTCCGCATCATTGAAACAGATTTCAAGTTTTGACTCCACATTTGAATTCAGAACGNCCTAGAAACTTAATCTATCAAATACGTTTACGATATTCTGATAAAACGAGTTCAAGACAACTGATTGAAGAACAACTGGAATAGATGAACTCATAATTAATTTCCAAGTGGCTTTCAATCAATCATGCCATACCAACGAGGTGATACTTGGATCATTTCATGTACTGTGGGGCATAAAATTTTGTCAGGATTCATTTAATGGTACAATGTGTCTGTCACACTTCGGACTTTTTGATGGTCATAATCAGTGTTTGCAAAATATCGACCATTCTCTCAATACCGAGATCACATTAATACCGGTATCGTTTTTCAATACCAATACGATACCGGTATTGAAGACAATTTTTGAAATAAAGAAATGTGGCTTGTTCAACGCATTCTTTTTGAGCCAGTGTGTTCATTAACAAATCACTAACCAAAGCTCAAGAAATTCAACGAAAAAAAAGCAACAAAAAATATTATGAAAATGGTCTCACTACGCTTCCTTTTACTAAATACCCTATAAGCGATGTTGAAGTTATTTAATAGAAGAATGAACAAAATTCACTGACACTTGATACATACTCTTGGGATGTTGAGAATCATCGAAACAATTGAAAGAAGCACGCAGTGTGATACCGAAATTCGTCAGAGATTTTGGATCACAGTGGAATCGCACTCCCGCCCTCTGAACTAATCAGATCCTCAAAGCCTAGCACTACACCAGTACACTATCGGCGCCTTTAGAAATTTTCGGGGCGATTTTGCAATTCGGTGCTTCATTTTCTTTCCTTATTGAAGAATCTTTTGGAAGAAAAAGACCTGAAAAAAGTACATGTTAAATGCTGAACTTACTCAAATTCCGAGCATGAACATGAATGTCTACTGTTGTTCCCTGAAAAATTTTCAATCTGTTTTCAGTTTTCAGTAGTTTTTGTTTGAAATTCATGGTTTAAAATTGAAGACTGCTTATGTTTTTGGTTATCAAATTTAGCTGTTTAACAGAAATTCAACATTTCAAGCCGTTCGGATATTTTTTATTCAGCTACAGAATTTTTGCTGCAGCTTAATTTCGGTTCCCTACGAAGAATTAAGGCCTTAGTTTTCTGGAAGTGGCTCACAGCGCATATTGTGAGGATGTGGTCATTCCACCACAATGCTCACAGTTAATTTGTCAGAA